GGTTTGAGGAGCACAACAAGAAGTTCAGAGTGTTGACTTAGCCTCCAAATTCCCCAGATATCAATCCAACTGAGCAAGAAATAAACCTCACCCATGGGGACCCCACCTTGCAACACACACTGTGCAACGCATCTGTGCAACTCATCCCGGATTACTTTTACCAGAGAAGAACTGTTAAATATCGGACAACTCACACCAAACTACCTTCCTCCAATTTTTGTGAATGAAGAATACTGTATGGACATTCTGACACTCCCATCCATTCACCTGGCGAATCTCCGCTCCCTGGTCAACAAAATGGATGAAATTCTTCTCGTCAACAGGACTAACTCTGACTTTGCACGCTCTGCTGCTTTGTGCTTCACGGAGACCTGGCTCAGCGACTCGATCGCTGATAGCGCGATTCGAATACCAGGTTTCCAGGTGTTCAGAGTGGATCGTGTAAAGGAGCTGTCCGGGAAAACAAGAGGAGGTGGAATCTGCTTCTACATAAATGAAGGTTGGTGCACAGATGTCACAGTGCTACATGTACCGCAGACCTAGAGACTCTTGTTATCAACTGCAAACCCTTTTACTCTGTTGTGTCCTGATATGTACTTCTATATTGTACCGCCAGAGAGGCTGCTGTACAAGTGTTGATAAAAGATGTGCAAAGAAGAGTTCCAGGATGGCGTTACTGAATACACAAGTGTCATACTGCTGCTGCGTAAAAGTGTTCAATTAAATAGAGTGTTCAGATATACCAGGTGTCTTTATTCAAGGCTATCAGACTCTACATTTTTGGCGACAAGTGTACCTACGTTTTTTTCCATCTTCTTCGACCGAACATGACTGCAAATGTTCCTGCGCCGCAGATGTTGTTGCCTTGCCCGGGAGAACCTCCACTTCCCTTTGCCACGTGGATGCGGATGTTGAACAACTACCTGTTGGTGATTAATGCAATGGGGAATGCCTGGCCTGAAGTCGGCAAAAAAGCTACTTTACTTCATTGCCTCGGTGTGGAAGGACAACGGATTTTCTACTCTCTACCGGACACAGGTGACACTTTTAATACCGCCGTGGCTGCTTTAGAAAAATACTGTGACGACCGCTAGCTCGGTTGAGAGGAGCTGGCACGACCCTGTCCGATACTGGGACAACTAACTATCCAGCTATGCGCTGGCACCTATGCTGACAGTGAGGAGAACACCTTCTTTGTCTTTTTGGATTTTATTAGACAGAATAGAGAATGCAAAAGCAGAACTGCGGTTTACCTGGCACTGTGTGCTCATCAGGAAAATAATGAAAAAGTCAAGCAGGACAAACAGTAACGACACTCTCTCAGGGCAACCCGAGTTCCGCGCCAACAGAATCTAAACAACACGCCCACCTGTCATCCCTCTTATCTCCTCCCGCACCTGTTCTTCCCCCCATCCCACATTGGCCAGAACAGCGCGGCATTTTGCAGAAAACAGCGATAACCAATACATGAACAGCCTTCAATAACATTGTCAAACCCATTCGCACACAACAGAACACATGAACATCAGCGGCCGGTCAGGGTCGCCACA